TTTAAACATGTTAGACACGCTTCGTCTTTTTAAAAGTGTATGATATGTGCCGCATTTATGTGCTTAGTCATAAGGGGGTAAGTCATTATTTTTGCATTAATCGTATATAATAATCGCGTGAACAATTGCAATCATAGCAAATAAAATTAATCTCTTTTTCTCTCTCTCTCTCTCTCTCTCTCTCTCTCTCTCTCTCACACACACACAACACACACACACACATATGCGTTTATTTTTGTTATTACCACGAGTGTTTATTTTTGTGATGTGCAAGGCGCATCTCCCAAGTCTACAATATACAATTATGTCTTTTCATTTACAGGATAATGAAGATGCCATTGTGCGGAACAGCATCCTGAAGGAATTAGAAACGAGATTGAATGACGCAATGACGGGAGCGAAGAATGCTATAAGAAGCGAGGGCAACTTGGTGAAGAAGTGCATCCTTCGCCGCGGTTCCTCTTTTTATACGGCAGTGAAAAGGATCAAGAGTAATAAGAAATCCCGGCAGACTTTTACGCGTCGTACTTTGAAGAATCACTGCGCCAACAATGTAGAGAACAACGCGATAATTTGCGCAATCAAATCCGAGGTGGAGGCAAAGCCGTTTCTGAAAGCGATTGATCGCTTTCGGTCGAGCAAATCTAACATCCCGTCAACAATCAAGGACACTCTCGAACCGCGTTTAAATTCCGCGAATAAAAAACTGACGACGAACAGCTCGGCGAAAATGCGCGTGCCTTCCGAGGAAACAGCAGTGGTGAGACAGGGCGCAAAGAGACTGAAAGTCATTTCATCTATAAGAACATCCAAGCTTCTTCCCAAGATCGGGGAACCGTCTTGCACCTCAGAGGAAATCAGCGCGAAGCGATCCCCAAAGGTACCGCATACTTGCGATAAGAGACAGAGTATTAAAGGAACGCGCGATACAGCCAGGATTGCTATATGTAAAAATCGAACGGTCTTCCTGAAAGAAATAAATAAGACTGCCAGTAAGGAAAGTTTTGTAGCAGAGCACAAAACAATTAAATGAGTTCATTAGAATACGAAAAACAAATTACTAGACTCAAGAGACTCAGGAAATCAATATTGTCATTTCCTGTGTTTCTTTTCGGAGAGATATTTTGCAATTGTAATTTATACAGAGTGACAAAAAAATTTAGTCACAAAATAGGATGTTGATTTTCCATTACAGTTTGTAAGCTAGGGGTCAAAATGAACATCCTTCTTTTGTGTTTATCAAATCATAACATATATTTACAAAAAAATAAATTCTGGAGTGTCAAATCATATCTTATTAAATATCAAAATAATAACATGCAAAATAGTCATCTTTAGCTTTGATATAAGTTTAAAGACATTTTGAAAATGCATCAGCGATCATTGCCATCAGAATTTATCCATTTTCCAGATAAAACCTCCTTCCAGGAGGACAATAGCGAACGGTCTTTGATTGTAAATCAATAAAAATTGATAAAAATGTTTTGGTGTAGAGTTTGTTTGGTATTTAATAAAGCGTAACTAATATATAATATACATTTTTTACTATAATGATTTAATAAACAGGCAAAACTATGTGGCCAATCCTTTTTGTCATTCTGTACACAAAATGTAGTAAATTATGATTTTAATCGACGGAAAGATGGATGAAAATGAATAAAAGGATTGACATGGCACAGTTCTCCGATGTCTCTGATGTCTTGAAAAGTGTGCTAGGATATTCTAGAACTAGAGCTCTAGATATACCAGAGCAATCTTTTGATTTGAGCCGAATGCCGACAGCTTTCCCATTGGCTATTTTTAATTTGGTTTTTAATTTATCGTTCAATGAATAAGTAATAAATAAGTAAATTCATTAATTCTTTGATATGATACGGTGATATTTATGATATTTATTAGATAAAAAATGGCGGTTAATATTTATCTTGTAAATCTAGAGCTCTGCCTAGAACCTAGGAGAGCTAAGATCATTCTCTGGACATCCTTAGAACTCTCTTGAGCTACATTTCAAAATGTTCTCTCCGAGGAAGATTTTATTCTATATACTAATACATGTTACATGTAGTATTTCAAATAAATCTTCCTCGGAGAGGACGGTTTGGAATGTATCCTTGGAGAATTGTATTTTATATATCCCACATACAAAATGTTGAATCTCTCTTATTTATACTATTTGAGAACAACCTGATGTGTGATATACTGTGTGTGTTCTATCGTTGTATACATACATTGTTTCGGATTTTTCATCAAATGATAAACTGTCTCTTCGTTCGAAGAGCAAAACTTAAGTCATAAAGAAATATATTATGTTATATATATTTATATATTTGATGCATATGTAAAATACTATTCAGTTTTCGATATTTATTATTTATATACATAGAAGAACTCCATTTTGATCTTTGCAATCGACATGCTCGTTTCAAAAATAAGTTTTAACTAAAGATTTTGTTATTTTGAATAAGATATTTTATCATTAGTAAAATTATGATGTAAATGTGAATGTTTTTCAATAAATTAGAAGTTTTTTTATGGAGCTATATTTTTGTTTAGATTTCTTTGCAATTAGTGCTCATTTTAAAAATAAGTTTTTAATTAAAGATGTTATTTGGAAGAGGATATGCTATCGTTAGCAAAATTATGATGTAAATGTGATTATTTTTCACAAGTTAAAAGTTTTTTTTAATGGAGTTATATTTTTGTCTAAATTGAATAATAAAAAGTTTCAAGGTAGTTATATAGAGAGATAACGTCTCACATATGTACATTAGATTATAGTATTCTGTATTATGTGAAAATATAAATGTTACGTTTTCCTGTAATCTTGTAATGCTCCGCATTCATATATGCGAAGTAGGAACTGTTATATTTATGTGAAAATTTGTTGGAAAAATAAAACATATACATACCAAAATAAATCTGCACTTTATTCCGAAAATATATTATTTTTGCAATTTATAGCTTTCTTAATCGCGACGAACTATTGATAGGAATTAAATGAAAAAGGAAGAAGAGAAATTTCATGGAACTCCAGGAAAATTATAATGTCAACAAAAAATCTTTCTTTCCAACACTAGAACGAGACAAATCATTTCCCAGTTTGGACGCTGAATACGAATCCGGTTTTTAAATTGCTCCACTATATCACAATTTTAAAAAATTTGCAGTTAAAATAAAAAAAAGCTTTCAGACACTTTGTCACATTATAAAAAATGTTAATTGAGAAAAATTATAAGTTACTATAAACAATAAGAATCTTATTTTAAATTATACATGTAAGAACACAACCAATACGAACTAGAAATTAAATGTCCATAATGATCGAAGCTGGATCTTTAATGCTTAAATAATTTAATGCTTTAATAATCAATGTTTTTATATACATGCTATATATGTAAGTACATGCATAAAATATATATCATATTTATAATCATTCGAACTACGCCGAATTTTCCGAACTTATAAATGCAATTATATAAACTACTGTAATAATCACAAATTAAATTAAAATGATAAGCAATTTTTAATAATTTGATGCTCAGTCAGGCATCGTATTATAGAAAGATGTTAATGTGTTGAAAACATATAAATAAATTATAATTACATGAAGTTATAAAAAGTAAAATTTATGAAAAATTATAAATAAGAACTTTTTGAAAATCGAAAGAACATAATATATAATGTAAAGATAAGTTAAAGAGGTACAACAGAGTAAAATTTTCAAAAAATTGAAAAAAAATTTTTTTTTTCGAAAGATGTCTTAAAAATATGCTTCTGAAAAATTTTTATAAAATTCGAAGTATTTTTCGAGTTATACGAGTTTTAGGGCGCACATTGTTGAATATGCTATACTGAAACTTTAAACATGTTTTTCTCAAAACTATTTTTTTTTCACTGGTGGCGTCTATAATTCAAACAATTTTCGGCCTCAGCTTTAAACGGTAGCTTCACAAAACGAATAGTTTTAGTTAGTTAAACATAAGGATTTTTTTTTAAGTGTTAATTTTCGAAGGGCGAAATGTTTAAGTTCAAAATACAGTGAAATTAAATTTTTTTAAACCGTTGTCATTTTATAAAAAAAATTATTTTAAAAAATCGCTACGCTTAACTGAAACTATACTCATATGGATTTGAAATTTTCAAAAAATTTTCATTTCAGATCATTACAATTTGAATTTTCTACACTGCCAATGGATCATGTTTTTTGAACACAGAAGTCTTAAGCCTATTCTACAATGTGTTCTTTGTTTCTTGTTTTTTAGCTTTTTTCTCCTTTGCAATCGTTTTATCAACAATTGCTACATATTTCTTGTTTCTTTCGAAATTAACTTTTATCTCGGGCGATATAACAAAAAACCGAATAAGAAGCAAAAAGACAAGATGTAAAAAATAGTAAAACTAAGAAACAAGAAACAAAAATCACATTGTAAAATAGGCTTAAAATGCTGTGCAACATCGTCATATATTTATATTTTGATATAAATTCTTAAAATGTCTTCAAAGTGTGCCCAATTAATATACCAATTCATATTTTTCTAAAACTTATAGTTACTTTAAATACCAATTCATATTTTTCTAAAACTTATAGTTACTTTAAAAAAATTGACAAAAAAAACTTTTATTCTGTTATATCTCCTTAAAAATTATAAAATTCATGCAAACTATAATCTGTTGATTAATATTTAAGCTAATTCATGCTATTTAGCTACTTGCAGTATTATGGCTGCAGTCAAAGTCTCACTACAAATAAATGCTTTGAAGCATGTGGTTGACCAATTAGAATAAAGAATTTTACTAATTAAAAATTGCTTTAAAATATTTGTAGCACCACGTTGACCATATCCTATATTATTATACTTTAGTGAAACTAATCTTTCCATTTCATCCCGAAGATGTAAGCTTTGACTGCTTGCTGCCTTTATCGTTGCGCAATGCGCATGCGTGCAAAAAGCAACACTGCGAGCATATGTTGTATCAACTACATATATATGTATGTTGTATGTTTAAAGGTTGTGTCCAACCTCACGAACACGAATGCTGACGAGTGCTTCACAAATGCTTACTTACTCAGATCAGATTAAGTTCAGGGTGCAACTTTGCAGTTTGTATAACTTTGCGACATCTTCGAGTCATTGAGGTGATCGTTCGCGCTGATTTTCACATCGGTGAAGCTGAAGAACTCCAACAAACCCCAAACTCCTACTCTAAGTAATCCTGCTAAAAGAATTCTGAATTATGGAAAATAAGTGGTGCCTGTCATTACGTCATTTTGAGTTTTTGTGATTTCGTGATCGACAGGAAAACGGGTGGAAAGGGAAACAACGATCGAGATTACGGAAGGTGATCCGGAGATTACAATCAAACCGTGGAATCGGAATGGCTGTCACGAGACGCTGCGTCACGGCGTGCATGTTACTGACGATACTCTCATTGCTGGTAGAGACAGGTGAGGTTAACGCGACAATGCGCTTTGGGTGGGGTCTCGTATCTCGTAAGCTCTTTTACTACGAAGAACGAAAAGTTGCGAAAAAGTAGGAAACACTTGCATTCTTCCTCGGAGAAAAAGTTCTCAAACTCAGAACGCTTCGAACAATCTATACTTAATTTATGTCTGATTTCAAGACAACAATCTATAATTTTACGTTACGCGCAATGCAAGAAACATTTGAAGAATCGAAATATAACACATATTAAATAAAAGAAATTTTTCATACAAAGCATGATGGAAGTATAATATATTTCCATCATGAAACAAAGAAAATTTGTTTTTCAGTAAAAGACCCAGATGACAGAGTGACTCATTTAATTCTTATTTATTGGCAAACAATAAGGAAGAAACAATTCATTGCCATCTGTCTCTAGAAGATAGATAAAAAACTTTCATACTAGCTTTCATAAGAGGAAGGTTAATATAATTTGTATCGTTATTTTTATAAAGTTTAATTCCTTGTAATGAAACAATCTATCGAAAAAGACATTAAAATGTAAAAAAGGAGTCAAGTATATTTTACAGAAAAAACCAAAGATAATTCCATAAAAATAGAAGTGAAATCAAAATAATATTTCAAGTATTTTTTTGAAAATGTCTCTTAGAATGCAGTCCTTCGAGAGATCTTGAAGATATTCTTATGATGTAAATGTCCTTTGGACATCCCTTAAGACAGCATTGTATGGGATAATTTCTCACAATTATAATATACTATACAAAGTACAGATGACATTTGAAGTATATTAAGTGTAACAACATTTTAAAATGAGAGAAAGAAATGTAATAGATAGCGTAATGATAGGCACAGAAATTGAAAAAAAATTTTTACATCGATAACAATAAAATAGAAAATTGTAAAGATAAAAAATCGAAAATAAGTAAGATCTCTAGCAGCAGCATTTTACGCCCGTTTTGTTTATAATTCGATTCATACAAATAATTCAATAAATATTTTATTATAATTATAAACTATTTTTCGCAAATTGAAGAAATTTTATATATTGAATCAGTGCAAAAGTTCGTGCCCGATTCGTATAGCTGGAACTGGTGAAGTAGCATGGCGACTCTGTTGTTGTTTATGTATGCATATTATTGGAAAGATAACAAGCATAGATGTCATTTGAGCATCAGAAGTGCTTGTTTGATTGAATTTAAGTCATGAAAAAAATCATTGAAAATGGACAAAGAGAAGTTGCATTTTTGACATGATGCTTTATGAGTTTTGGAAAGAAATAACCATTAGCGTTGCGACAAAAAACATTCAGGAGGTTGATTTGGACTATGCAGCTCTTCGAAAGATGAAGAAATGGTTTGCTAAATTTCATCGTGATGATTTTAACCTTGAAGATAAACCTCGTTCTAAGCATCCTTCCATCGATGACATTCTGCGCGCAGATAATAGCAAACAATGCACGCATTTCGACAGAAGTTTCTGAGGCCCTGAACATTGATCGGTCAACCATGTTTCGGCGTTTAAAGAAGATGGGACTCACTCTGAAGCTCAACACGCATTTGTCCGAAAAAAAACAAATAGGACCGCATCTCCGCAGCCGTTTCTTTGTTCAGACGTCTGGAAAAAGATGTTTTTTTTGGACCGTTTGGTGACTGTCAATGAAAAATGGGTCCTATATGCCAATATCTAACATAGGCGTACTTGGAAGAAAGCAAACCGACACATTCAATCGTCAAAGCTGAGTTGCATCCAAAGAAAATCTTGCTATCCGTTTGGTGAGATTGCCAAGGTGTTATATATATTTTGAGCTGCTTCCTATTAGCCAAACGATTGATTCAAAGAAGTACCGCCAATAATTAACCAAATTGGACGCAGCAATCAAAGAAAAACGCCCGAACTTGGTTAATCGTAGAGGCGTCTTCCATGACAACGCCAGATCACGCACTTCGAAAATGACTCTGGACAAATTGAAACATTTGAAATGGGAAATCTTATTGCATCCATTATATTCTCCGCACATCGTACTCTCCGATTATTATTTGTTTTGATCATTACAAAATGATTTAAATGGCAAGAATTTCGATTCTGTGGAGGCTGTCAAAAATCACATTATCACATAATTTTTGACGCAAAATCATGCGATTTTTTTCAAACGTGGTATCTATAAATTGGTTGAATGTTGGAAAATGATTGTCCAGAACGGGGTGGCGAATATATTGATTAATAAAGGCGATTTTTTCAAAAAACAGCTATTTGTCTTTTTTTACAAATTAGGCACATTTTGCACTAATTCAATATATTCAAGTTATTTTAATATTGATGTATTTTACATTTAACAGATATACATACAAATATTTTTCTATGAGATAAAGAAAAATTTTTAATACTTCTTAATACTAAATTTTTTCATTCAAAGAAAGTCTTGCTATCCATTTGGTGAGATTATTCTTGTATAGATGTTGCATATTTTGAGCTGCTTCCTGTTGGCCAAACGATTGATTCAAAGAAGTACCGCCAATAACCACCTTTGAATTAGACCCTCTTCAGATATTTATTTAATATAAAGATATTACCATGAACTAATAGTGTTGACTGTGAAAAAAATTATCATAATAATTCGCATATCGTGTGAACAATTGAACGTTAAGAGGAATCGAAATTGCTCACCAAAAGGTTGGAAAGCGATTGAACAGAATTATAAATTAATTTCATTAGATATGGCTTCTCTTTTTACAAACATTCCCACAGACATAGCCTTAAATTGTATTAATGACAATTGGAATTTTATTTCGAAAAAAATGTAAATTACCTAAAAAGGAGTTTTTGATTGCAGTTCGATTAATTATTTAGATTCCACTTATTTTTTATTTGATAATATTATTTACAAATAGAATTTTGGTGTGGGTTCTCCTTTGTCACCTATTATTGCTGCTTTGGTAATGCAAAGATTAGAGAAGATGACATTGAGTATGTTTAAGGATCTTTTTTATTTTCGCTATATCGATGACCTATGCGCTGCAATTCTATCAACTGAGATTAATACTTTTCTGGAATGTTTCAATTCGTCTCACTCACGTCTAAAACTCATCCTGGAGATTAGTGATAACTCATTAAACTCATTAAATTTTCTTGATGTTAAAATGACGATTAAAGATAATCTTTTAATTTTTGACTGGTATCATAAACTTAGTTTCTCAGGGAGATTTTTTTCTTTTCTAACTGTCCATTATCTTAGAAAAAGGGTATAATCATCAGTTGGTGGATAGAATCTTACTGTCAGATTCTGAATTCTACATGAACAATTTAACACTTATAAACATTTTACTGAGTAATGATTATCCACTTATCTTTAACACAATTAATAAAAGACTAAAAAACATCAGAGTTAGAAGCATCGGTTGATCGAGTTAATAATAATGTAGATCCATCAACTATCCATTTTATCGTGGTTTACAGTACTATTTATTCATCTTTAACAGAAAAATTTAATCAATTCAACAGGAATGACATTAAAGTTTCATAATTCGAATAAACTACAGAAATACATTAAGATACATAAAGATCCTCATCCTCGTCTGTCTAAAAATAATGTAGTTTATAAAATTAATTGTAATAATTGCGACTTATAAATGCATCATAGAACAGACTGATAGACAGCTAAAAACACGAATTGCTGAGCATGGAAATCATTTACGCTGGAACACATCTTCCCGTTCAGTTATAACCGAATATAGATTAGATAGTGAACATGATTTCGATTGGAACAATATTGAAATTCTTGACGAAGAACCATGTTACAGTAAGCGATTAATTTCTGAAATGCTTTATATTAAAAAACAGAAAAATAGCCTTAATCTTCAAACTGACACTGAGAGCTTACGTAAAACATACATTCCTATTGTAAACAAGATATTCAACCCAATTAAAATAGTAGTTTTAATTTTTCTGCATTCTTATTGATGGTTTTCTTATTCCAACCCAAGTAATGGCAACTTTATAATAATTCTGTCAAAAATTATTACTCTTCGAAAAAAATTAATGTATCAAATGAAAAATTAAAATCTGATGCTACAATCTTAACCAATCAAGTTAAATTCCATCAAATTAAAAAGTAAAATACAAATGGTATTGTCTCTTGTTATTTATACAAATGTACCTTTTTAAAAAATAATAAAAAAACGCTAAGTATGTGCGCTTTTTGTAAAGAATCATTTTGACCGGTTTCATCGTGTTTGCTGTTTAGTAGAATTGATTATTTACGGTTGACAGTTAATCATCGATTCGGCTTAATTAAGTACTGGTGAAACCAGTCCTTTGTACATAATACTAAGTATCCAATCCAATTAATAGTAGTTTTAATTTTTTTTTTAAGGATATTCTTATTGAAGATATTTTTATTCCAATCCAAGTAATAGCAACTTTAATTCTCTGTCAAAAATTATTACTCTTCGAAAAAAATTAATGTATCAAATGAAAAACCCAAATGTTACAATCTTAACCAATCAAGTTAAATTCTATCAAATTAAAAAATAAAACACAAATGATATTATCTCTTGTTATTTACTTAACTCTAATGATATGTATTGGGTTGTCCCCCAGAAAGTTCGTGCTGATGTTGAAGGAAAATTGAAACGCAGAAAATTTTAATTTAATAAATGTATACTAAAATTTAAATCGGCACGAACTTTTCGGACAACCCAATATTATTCGATATAGATATGTATTATAAAAGATTTAATCAACAAAATTGACGCCAAATTAAATTCTATATAATTCGGATACCAAATTAAATAAATAATATTAACTTTAATGATATATATATCATTCTTATAAAGAATTTGATGTCAAGACGCCAAGTAAAATCTCATTTCTTTATATTATGCCAAATTAAATAAATAAATATTAATCTAATGATATGTATTTGTATATAAAATTTGATATCAACAATTGTGACCAATGTGATGTTCAACTTTATTAAAAATAAAAATTAATACTATAGGCCATT